CCCTCCCTTCCCTACCCCTTAGTGTTGCTCTCCCCTCCCACCCCTCACTCCCCTGTCCCGTAGTGTTCCTCTTCCCCCCTTACCTGTCTCTTAGTGCTTAGTGCCCCCCATTCCCCTTAATGTTCCCCCCCTTAGTGTTCCCCTCCCTTCACTTTTAGTGGTACCCCCTACCTGTGTTCCTTTTCCCTTCCCTCCCCTGTGTCAGGATTACTGTTTGATCCAGCATGTAGAACTGTACAGCACGGATGACAAATAAGTAACGTATTACTGGTCCTTAGAATGGCCGGATTTAACGTACAAAGAATAGTCAAAAATACTAGCCGAGTTCATGGAACACAGAAAGGGACACAGCGATGAGGAAAGCCAGGACTCAGGATACCAGAATATAGAGAAGTCAATAAACAAAGCCAAAGTCAAAAACCAGGTAGAAAACTATAAACAGGAACGCGCTCTCAGACAACCACAAGGGAAACCACGACAGGGCACTGAGCAGGCTGAGAACTGGGCCTAAATACCCCTCCTTTAGTTCTGATAGGCTGTAACCGGCCTTTGACCCCAAAGTCAGTTACCAGGTTTCATTTGCATAATTGCTGCTCAGCATTAACCCTTCTGTGGATTAGGTTGCTGCTCGGCACAACTTTTCCTGTGTGGACAGTAAATGTCATTAATCACTTTTCTATAAGCGGATGAATACGTGACATTACCCCCCACCTGAAGAACGCCCACCGGGCGGACAGGACCAGGCTTGAGAGGAAATTTAGCATGAAAAGCGCGGATCTTACGGCCCGCATGCAGGTCAGGAGCCGAAACCCAAGAACGATCAGCAGGACCGTAACCTTTCCAAACAACCAAGTACTGTAAAGTGCCCCGAGAAAACCTAGAATCCACGATAGAAGATACCTCATACTCTTCCTGACCACCCACCACCACCGGAGGGGGAGGAACACAAGGAACAGTATATCTATTGCAGACAAGAGGTTTGAGTAAGGACACATGAAAAGTGTTGGGAATCCCTAAAGATGCAGGAAGAGCCAGAGAGTAAGACACTGGATTGATCCTACGAAGCACTCTATAGGGACCAAGGAATCTGGGGGCAAACTTCATGCTAGGGACCTTAAGCTTGATGTTGCGAGATGACAACCAAACCCGGTCCCCCACTTGGTACACCGGGTTGGCACTCCTACGCTTATCAGCAAAATGTTTGAAGCGTTCAGCAGCAGCCCCTAGAGCAGTTTGAACCTTAACCCAGGTATCCCGAATGGAGGCCAGACGCTCATCCAGAGCAGGAATGGCAGTATCAGAAAATACCGCAGGGAGAACCGTAGGATGCCTACCATTATTGACAAAAAATGGACTGTGCCCAGAGGAGTCATGAACAGCATTGTTTCTAGCGAACTCGGCCCACGGGAGTAGTTCGGACCAATTGTCTTGTGTGCTATTAATAAAACAACGCAAATAAACTTCTAATGACTGGTTAGCCCTCTCAGCTGTACCATTGGTCTGTGGATGGTAGGAGAAGGAGAGATCAATCCCCAATTGTTTACTGAACGCCCTCCAGAACCTGGACACAAACTGAGAGCCCCTATCAGACACAATATTGTGGGGGATGCCATGCAAACGGACAATTTCACATATGAAAATTAGGACCAAATCTTGCGAAGATGGCAACTGCTTGAGAGGAATGAAGTGAGCCATCTTAGAAAATTGGTCTACAACCATGAGAATAGTAGTGAACCCAGCAGAGCTAGGAAGCTCAACAATAAAGTCCATGGATAAGTGGGACCATGGAATCTCAGGAACAGGAAGAGGCTGCAACAGGCCACAAGGAAGTGCATGAGTCACCTTAGAAACTGCACACACAGAACATGCCTGCACATACTCCTTTACATCTTTCCTGAGTGAATCCCACCAAAATGATCTAGTGATCGCGGCAGTGGACTTATTGATGCCCGGGTGTCCAGCAGTTATATTGTCATGGAACACTTTCATGATATTAACCCTTTCACATAGGGGAACGAACAGTTTATCACACGGTTTACCACTGGGCGCCTGAGGCTGGGCCTCCAGTATGGTGCCAAGCAGTGGAGAAGACAGTGAGAGGACAGTAGTAGCAATAATACACTCTGGTGGAATAATAGGAGATGTCATCTGTTCCGGAGCTGACTCATTATCAAATTGCCTGGACAAGGCATCAGCCTTGGTATTTTTAGAACCAGGTCTATAAGTAATGAGAAAGTTAAAACGTGAAAGGAACAGTGACCATCTAGCCTGTCTGGAAGACAAACGTTTGGCATCCCCTATATATGCCAGATTTTTGTGGTCGGTTATGATCAACAGGGGGTCCTTGGAACCCTCCAAAAGATGTCGCCACTCCTTGAGGGCAAGAATAATGGCCAACAGTTCTCTATTGCCAATATCATAGTTGCGCTCAGCAGGAGACATCTTTCTGGAGAAGTAGCCACAAGGATGCAATGGTGTTCCTGGCTTTCTCTCTGAGAGAGAACAGCCCCTACCCCTGTCTCGGATGCATCAACCTCCAATATAAAAGGTTTACTGGTGTCAGGATGTTTTAGTATGTCCACAGAGGCAAATCTTTGTTTAAGAGTCTCAAAAGCATACACAGCCTCTTTGGACCATACCGTGCTACTAACCCCTTTGTGAGTCATATTTGTGATTGGGGCTATTATAGAAGAAAATCCCTTGATGAATCTTCTGTAATAGTTGGCAAAACTAATAAACCTTTGAATGGCTTTTAAACCAGAGGGTAATGGCCAGTGTAGTACAGCCTCTAGTTTTTTAGGATCCATTTGAAATCCCGATGCAGAGATGTTGTAACCCAAAAAGTGGACTTCAGGCTGGTCAAATATGCACTTTTCTAATTTACAATAAAGTTTATTTTTCAACAACGTCTGCAGAACCTGTTTCACATGGGAGTGGTGAGTTTGAAGATCAGGGGAATACACCAAAATATCGTCCAAATAAACCAAGACAAATGAGTAAATGAATTCCCTGAGTACATCATTTATAAAGTCTTGGAATACGGCCGGGGCGTTGCATAACCCAAATGGCATTACCAGATATTCATAGTGTCCACTACGGGTATTAAATGCCGTCTTCCACTCATGATTCTCTTTAATTCTAACCAAATTGTAAGCGCTCCTAAGGTCAAGCTTAGTAAATACTTTAGCTCCCTGAAGTCTATCGAACAATTCGGAAATGAGTGGGATAGGGTATGCATTTTTTACAGTGATTTTATTAAGTGCCCTGTAGTCTATGCAAGGGCGTAACTCACCACCCTTTTTCTCAACAAAAAAGAATCCTGCACCAGCTGGTGAGGATGACTTTCTTATGTGCCCTTTGCTCAAGGATTCTTTGATGTATTCCTCCATTATTTTACTCTCCTGGGGAGATAAGGCATAAACTGCCCCCTTAGGTGGCATAGCGCCTGGAAACAGGTTAATGGCACAGTCATATGCTCTGTGGGGAGGCAATACATCGGATTGAGCCTTGTTAAACACCTCCTGAAGTTCTCGGTATTGTATGGGAACTCCAGGAGTTTGGGGAGTGGTAGTGGGAAGGTCAATAGTATCCAATCTCCTTAGTACTGGTTTTATACATCTCCCCATACACTCTTTACCCCATTCTAATATCTCCCCATTAGCCCAGTCAATATAGGGATTGTGCTTACTCAGCCACGGAAACCCTAATATGATAGGACATGATGGAGAAGTAATAACCTGAAACGTCATCTCCTCCCTATGGGAGGCCCCAATGGAGATCGTAATAGGGACAGTTTCGTGGGTTATAAGCGGTTGTGTGAGTGGTCTACCATCAATAGCCTCTACAGCTAGCGGCGTAGGTCTCTCCCTGACCGGTATCTCATTACCCCTAATAAACTGGACATCAATAAAATTTCCAGCAGCACCTGAGTCCATTAGGGCACTGCAAGAAAACTTCTTGTTATCAAGGGAAATAGATACCTCAAGGAGGAATCTACTTTTGTTTTTGTTAGAGGACAACTCCATCACACCTAAGATCTGTCCCCTTAAGGTTCTTAGGTGCGGAAGTTTTCCGGACGCACTGGACAATTAGTTATCATATGTCCCTTTCTACCGCAATATAGGCATAACCCCTCCCTTCTCCTATACTGTTTTTCGGCCTCTGACAGTCTAGTGACCCCCAACTGCATAGGTTCGGGTTCGGACTGTACAGGGAGGTTAGACAAAACAGGTTTAGAGAATTGAGGTGCTAGGGACATAGCCGTACGTCTGGTCTTGCTTCTGGTGACTTCTCTGAGTCTTAACCTATTATCAATATGCATGACAAACGTAATAAATTCGTTAAGACTCTTAGGTAATTCTTTAGCGGCTATCTCATCTAGTATAGTCTCTGAGAGACACTTTTTGAATGCTGAGATTAACCCATTGTTAGTCCAGTCTACCTCGGAAGCTAAGGTACGGAATTCAATAGCATAATCCGAGATAGACCGGTTACCTTGTCTGATTTGCATTAGGGCAGTGGAGGCGTCATCCTCTCTACCCAATGGCTCAAACGTGAGCTTGAATTCGGCAAGGAATTCCTGGTAATTATGAGCTATGCTCCGATTACTCTCCCACAACGGATTAGCCCAGGCAAGGGCCTTGCCCTTTAATTGATTCATTAGATAACCAATTCTTGCTCTGTCCGTGGGGAATGACCCTGGTGAGGCCTCAAAATGGTACTCCACCTGATTAAGAAAACCCCTGCATTCCTGGATATTGCCATCAAACTGTAGGGATGGTGATAAGGAGATGCAAGGAGTCCTATTAACAGTGGGTGGAGGTACACAGGGTAGAGGTGCTATAGGAGGAGACGCTGCAGGCTGCAGATGTTCCGTTCTAGCGAGAAGCGTACTTAAAGCGTGAGTGAATTGATCCATGCGGTGATCATTCTCCTCTAGTTTCCTCTTGCAAGCAGCTATGTGCTGATACAGTTCTACAAGATCTATGGCCATGTCGTAATGTCAGGATTACTGTTTGATCCAGCACGTAGAACTGTACAGCACGGATGACAAATAAGTAACGTATTACCGGTCCTTAGAATGGCCGGATTTAACGTACAAAGAATAGTCAAAAATACTAACCGAGGTCAGGGAACACAGAAAGGGACACAGCGATGAGGAAAGCCAGGACTCAGGATACCAGAAATATAGAGAAGTCAATAAACAAAGCCAAAGTCAAAAACCAGGTAGAAAACTATAAACAGGAACGCGCTCTCAGACAACCACAAGGGAAACCACGACAGGGCACTGAGCAGGCTGAGAACTGGGCCTAAATACCCCTCCTTTAGTTCTGATAGGCTGTAACCGGCCTTTGACCCCAAAGTCAGTTACCAGGTTTCATTTGCATAATTGCTGCTCAGCATTAACCCTTCTGTGGATTAGGTTGCTGCTTGGCACAACTTTTCCTGTGTGGACAGTAAATGTCATTAATCACTTTTCTATAAGCGGATGAATACGTGACACCCTGTACCTTAGTTTCCCCCTTACCCTGTCCCATAGTGTTCTTTCCCTCCTCTCCCCTGTCCCACAGTGTTCTTTCCTCCCCCCCCCTGTCCCATGGTGTTCTTTCTCTCCACCTCCCCCATAGTGTTCTTTTCCCCCATCCCATAGTGCCACTATCTCCCCCCCCCCTCTTTGGTCCCCTATTTACTAGTCTCCCTAGCAATACAATTAAAGGAACACTCCAACCTCCATACCAACTTAAGCTCATTTAAATTGTTACTGAGTCAGGAGTGTCTGGACATTTTCTTACCATCAGGGGTTAAACTGGTGTTGCAAGTTGGAGGTTTCGTTCCTGGCACTTCTGTCTCCTTTCTTCCGTTCCTCAAATTCAAAGTAAAACAGTTGAGCTGGAAACACTCTCTAAGCCAGCTATGATTTCAGCTACTTTGTGCCTGTTTTTTTGCCCCTGAAATTTTTTTGTTATATAATTCCTAAAATGATGCTGACAGTAAGGGCATTGTTCCCTTCCCCATTGTGTTTTGCTAAACAGTGCTCTTTGTCCTTTATCATTTTCTAATGTATGGGGACACTGTCAGGTTTAGTGTCTCATTAATTTTGAGTGTACATTGTCTATAGCCAGTTGTGAAACGTATGTGCACAATAGACCAAAGGGATTTTCATTTGATGTGTCAAGTTTACAAGTGCCAATAAAAGTAGTGTTAATAATTGAACATAGACAAGATAGTTCTCTTCTCACCTCAATTTGACGTCAGTATGAAATGTGTCAAAATTATTTCTCGCAAACAGTGAAAACGAATTGATCAACATGATTGCACGCTATGAGTTATTTTTTTCCTTTTCAATTCAACATAGTGATTCAAATAATTATCTGCTACCCTGATTTTTATATAGGGACATATTGTCACATTGTTTATTTTTTTAAGTTTATATGTGTTCAAATATTATTATATTTGATTGCTAAGATATGTAACATATGTTCACCTCATAACATCCAACAAAAGTGCCGCTTTACTGACAGATTTAGGGCTTGATTACTACCTTTTTGGTGACCAGCTGCTGCTTGTTACTACTGTTAGCAAGCTGTGGTTCTTTGCGTGAAGTAAGTGATACGAGTCACGGAGCCACCCCCAATTTGCCAATTAATTGCAAACCCCCCCTCCCCCCCACAAACACACTCGTTCCATATCCCTAACCAATATCAGGTTTCTTGCCAAGGATTTTTATAATAATAATAGTTTAGAGTTTAATTTATTGGCTGTAGTGGGATAAGGGCTGCATGGTAGGACATATTTAAGAAAATATATATATAGAGAGAGAGAGAGAAAGAGAGAGAGAGAGAGACACTCCTCACCAGGGCCGGCCCAAGACATTGTGCTGCCTGGGGCGAAGGATGAAATGCTGAACCCCCTTCCCCCCATCAACCTTGCACACATCCAGGAGATGCAGTGTGTGTAATGTATGCCGTGCGTATAGTGAATGCTTTGTATCCATGTGTATAGCGGATACAGAGTGTGTGTGCGTGTGTGTGTGTGTGTAGTGGATGCAGTGTATGTGTAGATGCAGTGTAGTGGGTGCAGTGTCTTTGTAGTGGTTGTTGTGTAGTAGGTGCAGTGTCTGTGTTTGCGTAGGTAATACAGTGTAGTGTGTGCAGTGTCTGTGTAGTTGATGCAGTGTAGCATGTGCAGTGTCTGTGTTTGTGTATTGTGTGAAGTGTAGTGAATGCAGAGTGTGTGTGAAGTGGATGCAGTGTCTGTGTTTATTGCATGTAGTGTGTGTAGTAAATGCAGTGTCTGTGTGTATTGCATGTAGCGTTTGCAGTGTCTCTGTGTAGTGTATGTGTGTCGTGCATGTAGTGTGTGCAGTGTATTTGTGTTGTGCATGTAGTGTGTGCAATGTATGTGTGTCTCTGTGTAGTGCATGTAGTGTATGCAGTGTATGTGTCGTATGTGTAGTGCATTAAGTGTGTGTAGTGGGGCTGTGATTTAGGGTATTTCCCCCTCCCTGCCTCTTACCTGTGGTCATGGAGAGGGACACTAGTTTCCATGGTGGTCCATTGGCACATTTTGCTGTGTCCTGTGGAGAGGGGGCCCAGTGATCTGTTCTTCCTCCTGCATAGTATTGTATGGGAGTAGGACTTTAAGAGCAGTAATGTATAACAGGTATACCCTACTGTTAAGAAATAACGATCTTAACAGTTAGTTGCTTGTTGCCCTAATCTAGCCAGCAGTCAGTGAAAACAGTCTCCCATGCTATACCATGAGTTTAATCATTGGCCAGGTCCCCATCATTTGATTGTCTCTGAGCATGTAAGTAGACCACCGTTTTGGTTCATTCTTGTGTACTGAACCTCTTAAACGTGTGAGGGAGAGTTTCATGGAAAGCTAATCCTCCTTCAACCTCCTCCTCAGGTTGTTGCTCAAAAATCACATATGTTCCCTTAATGGCTCATTACAAAACATGGAACATCTCCAAAATGAAAGAGGAGCTTTAAATTAGGGTAGTTTTGTTCAGGAAGAGATATATGAATGCTTGAAGATTAACACATGCATTATTCAATAATTGATGTGGTCTGGTGATGTGACAACCAACTTTTTGATTCGCTTGAAGAGGAACTCAGTTGCCGTAGAACAGAAAACCATTCCGGACATGACCTTCCCAGGCACCTGAGACTGATATGGGAACCAGTGAGATGTAGAAGGGCATGGGTACCTTTATTTATAGAGGAAGTGATGATGCCAGAAAGGAGCAGACAGGAAGCAGTGTCAGGCAGTCCGATGGTCAGGGCAGTCAGCAAAGGAGCAAGGTCAAGAGTCAAGACTAGGTAAGAAACAAGGAAATCCACAAATACGTAGCAGGATGGCAGAGGTCAAAGTTTAGAGACAAGAAGCGTGGTCAGGGTCAAAGCCATGGGTCAGAATTCAAGACGTTTTACTGGGAATCAGGAACCAGAAATCAGGGATTAGGAACTAGGATCAGTGAACCAGGAACATTTGGATCAGTAACCAGAAACATCAGAGACAGGAGAGAGAGAGAGGAAGAAGCGGGTGCCTGAGCCCTTTGGGAGCTGCCTCCAGGATGCTGCAGGTGCCGTGGGCACTCAGGGAGAGATAGGACTCGCAGGTCTTGTTACAGGTGGCAATATCCTAGTGTTACATTATTATACACATTATCTTGTACAACTGGTGACAATAAGGCCAGAAGGATTTGGGTCGAAAATAGGGACTGTCCCTCCTAGATGGGAACCCTTGGAAAGAATGCATAATACAATGTTGAATGTTTTTGACTGCTCATTTTCTCTTCAAGCGCATAAATGAGCAAAACTGAAAATCAACAAATCTGAAAGCCAAAAAATGTTCAAGGAATAATGCCAAGTAAAACTGATTAAATATAAAAAATAAATTAGGAATTAGCCAGACGATCCTGAAATAACCATACAAATTTGCAAGTAACACGCTTTTTCCACTGGGACATGCTTGATATGAAAAGGCATGCAGATCAAGAGATTTAAAATGTACCATGCAGTACCATGCAGTGCTGATTATTCACCATAAAAGGGGCCCAAAATTTGTTTGCAACCATTTTTTTAAAGATCAAATTAAGTGAAAGATAAAACACTTTCAAAGACTATCGCTCTAAATAGATTTAATGGTGCTTAAACCTCTAATTTGCAATACCAATATATTTATTTTTCACAAAACCGATGATAAATACAACTTTAATAAACATATAGAAATAAAGAAATATGAGCTACGGCCAAGTCAAATTTACTGTACAAAGCAAACAGCATTTGAGTAGTGGACATGTTTTAGTACATCAATCTGTAAAAACATTTTTTGCTGATCCTCAAATTTTCTACATGCGAAGCTCTCTAATGCAGTAATAACAGGTTTATTTCCAACCATTTTCTAGAATCTGATAAAATAAATGGAAATGCAGCAGAAAAGTATGGAAAGGAAGAAATATAGTTTACGTAGTCTGCTCTAAAATGCATTTAAAAAAAAAAAAAACATAACAGAAGTTTGGTAGATGTAGTGTTATATGCAAGCTAAACCACAGCTAAATGTAAATAATGCATTGTGTTTTTACCAAGAAAAAATGTATTATAATGATAAGACATCATGCCTGTTTCTAAGAGATCAAGTTAGTCAGAAAGTTAATCTGAGTCCACCAGTAATCTAGCTTCATTCTGATTGGCGGTCAAGCAGTGCCCCATAATTGCTACCTTAGTTTTATTTATTTCACATTATAACTTACTGTTTTCCCAATAACAGTAATGAGCTTTTATAGTACAGTATAGTACAGTTGGAGCAATTTGGAATTTGAGTTCAATAAATAATGCAAACCCTGAGCAGAGGTGTTCCTATAGTCAAAAAATCCCTGGTACTTGATCCCAAAACAAAATTGGTCGGCAATGTGTAATTGCTTTGTCATTTCTACATCATTTCCAGTACAGTGAATAAATCAATGCACACGAATGTATCTCTGAGTGTGTATATTGTCAAATTAACTGTAGCAACAGTTTGCGTGAATTCAACTTGTATATTGTGAAAATGCAGGAATATTTTGTGTGTGTAGTGCAAGTTTGTTAATGCAAGTGCACTTGTGTATCTGAATTAAGGGGTATAATTATGTGCATTGTCTGTGTGTCTGAATAAAGGAATGTTATTTTGGTATAGATTTGTATAGATTATGGGTGGGGAGGTAAACACAGGATGTATTTTCTGAGTAAAGTCAGAGATTCTTTGTTTCTGTGAACATGGGGTGTATTTGGGTGGATGGAGAGTGTTTGTATAGTAATGCATAA